CATGGTTGTCCCAAAGGTGCTTTTTTCAAAAGGCAACTGGACTTTCTTTTTTTTTTTCTTTGAAGATATTTTGCTTCTTATGCAAGAAGCTTCTCAGAGCTGAAGAAGAGCTGCCTCAATTTTTTTCTAGAGAAAAACTGAACTTTCTTTGTGGTTATTTTCCCCTTGGTTTTAGTTTCTTCCAATGCCAGTATACATGAAATGTCCCCTTTCCATTTTAGAGCCTATGTCATCATTGCCAACTATGGGCTTTTAATTATTATGGTTATCTATCTCTTCTTTTTTACAGCTGCCCTGTCTATCAAAACCTGGACAGTATGTTTTAGGATATAGTTCATTCTCTGCCTTTTTTCTTCTTATTGCCCCCATTCCCCTGATAAGGAAACCTTCCTCATTGAGCTGGAACTTTTGCACTGCAGTTTTTCTTCGGAAGTTATAAAGATCTGCCAGTTGTCGTAGTTCTTCTGGTAACTCCATAGAAGATATCTGATTAACATAGGAACACAAACAGATGAGAGTAACACTTCATTATCATTATTTCTTTGAAGTGCTATGTTTTATCAATGAATGAGGTAAACGTGAAGAATACAGTACTTTGCACTGAATGCAGAAGTTCCCTCGTTACTTTAAGGAATGTTTAAAATATTTTCTATAATGTTTGAGGAGATTTTACTAGGGCTGTGCAAGGTATTTGACAAAGGTAATTGGCAAAGCTTGTTTAAAGCCCTATTTTCAAAACATTAAATCAGCTCTGTTCTTTGGAAAAAACTTCACACATGATTATTGGCATGTGTTTGGCCACACACAGCCAGGCTTTCCATCCCAGCATTAAAATGAGGTTTGCATGGATACACCTGTATAAGCAAAGCTCAAAGCTGCAGCTGCTTGCAGACTACCTGTTTTGAATCCTTTGTACACACTTGAGTATTTACTGCATATTTTCAATATGAAATTCACCAATATTCCCCAAAATATTAAGCCACTGATCATTAGATACATTAAAATATCACTTGTGCTTGTATGTACTCTGAAAGGTTATGCACTGGAGACAATTCCTTGTGTGTCCATTCACACTTGGCCAATAAATAATTCTATTCTAAAAACAGGAGTTCCTGTTCCAATACTACTATTATTTTGATATGAGGTGAACACTTACTTGTTAGTACTTCCAATTTTATTTGATATTTAAATATAAACATTATTTGGCATCCATTTTTAATTGATTTAACTTACTATTACATTTTATTTAATATTAATGAACTTTCTCTTTTGCTAATGCCCTAAAAAGTAAGATATGTACTAAAAAGTTTTGTAACTACTATTCTTTAAAACAGAATAACAGCAAAGGTTGTTTTTTTTTTAAAAAAAACCTTCACTAATGCAGGATTTAGTGCCAATAAAGTATTTTAGTAGTTAGTAGTGCTATTAGTGCTAATAGCATTAATAAATTAGATGATCCTACCCAACAGTGTACAACTGAGATTGAACTTACCTTGATGCTCCCCAGGGGATCTGCAGATCCTTGCCGAAATGCATTCAAGTAACTATCCACTAATGTTGTTAAATCAGACATAATTTCATCAAACAGCAGCAAACGGAGACGGAGGAGATACACTGTTTCCAGGGCCAATACATTCAACAATACAGGCGGAAGGGGTCTCACAAACCAGACCTCAGGATCTTCCTATATGAAAAAAGTATAAAACAGTATTTTTTCGTTATTCCTCAAAATTGACTTTGTTCATGGAATTGCAGGTACAGTCTAACAGAAAATTTCATTTGAAAGGGCTACTAAATATTTCGCATATAAATTCTACCTTGTTATCTGCAACATCTAACTCTATAGCAAATTGAAAGAAAAATCATGGATTAGTATTTAGGATAAATATTAAGTGTATGCTATTTTCAACATAATTTCTATTACAACCTGAAGAAGGTATAAAATAGATAACAGGCTACAAGCAGATCTGATTTCCTTCAACTCACACCATGATGCCATCAGAACCATCTTTACCTCCATTGCTTGCTCTTTGCTTTCCAAAAAAGAAACACATTTGTCAGGCAGCCTCAAATATCGCATTAAACACTCTTGTAAGGTGCTGATCCTGTGTGGAAGGTAGCCACCTGTTTCCATTGAGAACCGTAATACATCAGCAACCTATGGGAGAAAAAGTGAGAGCATCAATCAGTCACTGCTGTAGTTCACAAAAAGAAACTTGAATATAGATTATTCTTCTGTCATTATCATTTTAATATTAACCCAACAAATAGCTTTTGTAGATTTAAGAATATTTTTCAGCAAATCAGTGAGATGTTATTAGGAAATAGAAAGGCAATAAAATAAATATCTTGACAGAGAAAATTAAGTTGTATGGAATGTTTTATGCATTATGAAGGACAGATACATTTCAGCCAAAACATTACTTTATGGAGTAGCATATTAAGCTACTTCCCTTCAAATCTGGTTACATACAAGAGTATTTGACAAGCTACCTGTGTATCAAAGACATTGGAGAGCACAATTCCATATTGGTGAAAAAGACAATCTGAGAGCCAGCGACAATCATGGATAACCTAAGAAATATGAAAAAGAAGCAAGATCATTTTGACCAAGGAATATAATAAAAGTAACACATTTTCTGGCTTTTTAAAGAACATAATTTTATGTTACCTCTCTATATGTTATTGGATAATTGTTTTACATAGATACATACTTTCAAAATATTCTGGTCCTCCAGTATCATTTGTAATCCATTCTTGAACACTTGAGCTCCCAAAATAAAAACATCAAATAAGAAAACCTGATGTTTTGTTGCAACCTATAATAAATACATATAGAAAAGAACAAAATTATGGATTTACTGTAATTCAAATATTAATACTAGAATATAGTTAGAGTATCAATATTTTTGACTTATCTTAATTCTAAAGATGTCACAGTGGCAATATTTTTGTTTATTTAAATTGATGCATCTGATATGGATTGATTCTAACTAACACCTTCCATAATAAAGCAAATTACAACCCAAACATCTCTCTATAGAAATTGAGAATTCTATGAAGGGCATCAGATATAAAAACAGCAAAATATAAAACAGCAAAAATGAGGAATTACACTGAAAGGCAAAGATATATATTTATTCTTAGACTATATTTGCTAATAAGAGAACTATCATATTTTTTTACATTTACATTCCAAACTGTAAGGCATATTGTGTATTCTTACTTGTACCCAAGAAAGTTTTCCATGCCGGCACAAATGTACACCCTCTGCTGCTATACTACATACCCTTTGATTTTTGATGTGCATCATCTAATAGGGAAACAAAAAATATAGCAGGATATGGAAGACATGTAAAACAACATGAAACTAGTTTTTGAATACAAAGTTAAACTGCATAATTAAATGTAGGAAGATTAAAAAAGATTGGATAAGCACAGTGTGTGGCAATGTCATCTACATACCAGATCCATACTTTGGGTTATAAGTATGGGAGTGCTATAGATTCTAGACAGGTACATAGATAACATTCATGAAAACCAACTAGTAGTCAGAAGACATGATGAAAACCCCTTCATTTCACAACATATGGTCAGACAATCATAATTTCAACTCGGAAACTGTGAGCATCCTAGACCAAATTTACTCAAAAATGCTAGAGAATTCCTGAAAGCCTGGCACTCAGACAAATTACCCATCAACAGGCACGTAGAGATAAAGAACATCTACAACCCACTCAAAAGAGACAACCAAAAAGAAAAAAGAAGACCAAAACACCTCTTTCACCAGCAATCAATACCCAGATGAGAGATTTACATTAGACCAACAATCAAGAAGTAAACAATATCCCAATCAAGGAACCACCGAATAAGCTAACAGTAAACAACAGCCTAATCAAGAAACCGTCTAGACCACTCCCATCAACACTGACAAGGCAAGCTATATAAAATGAGGGCAAATTCTACTCCCTTCTAGCACTGATAATGTTATCTAGTTTGATAATAAAATGTCTGCAAGAAAACAACCAAGCTGAGAGAGCACACAGGTCCTCACATACTATAAGCAATTAAAAAGTGTGCCAAAAATAGTGCCCAGGGTCATCTTGTATCAGCTGGGTTTATTCTTAACTTAGCTCCACAAATATGACAACCTTTTGGAGGTGAGGGGTTAGGTGGGGAAGAAAACTTTGATCCACTGAAGGATTCTTCTGCTGGAAATGGAGAAGCTGCAATATAGGGAAGTTCAATACAGATTTTGCCACTCAAATGTGACTGACCAAAGGACAGTTGCATACCAAGCTCCAGATCAGGGCATTACTAGTATCTTAATGTAGGACTCTAGAGTGCAACTACTCTTCAATTTGCCCTGCCTGGATATAGAGCTACACTTTTCACTTTACAGCCATAAAGAGGGGTGGTGACTATAGAGCAGACCATGCTTTAGCTGCGATGACACTCTGAAGTTAGGAATTCAGCTGCTTCTTAGCCTGCCCTGCCCAGAAACAGAACTGTTTCTTGTCAGGCAATGATATATAGTGCCTGATTAAACTGGCAAGCTGCACCCTATTTCTGGCAGTCACTTCCCTCCTATGTGTACACTGAATGAGAAATTTCCTATTCTCTATGCTGCTAGCAAGATGGCAGCTCCTTTTTCCTCCCTCCTCGTCTCCATCAGATCTTAATTTTAGATCTCTGAAGGCACACTTCAGTTTTCTCTTGGTCTGCAACAAGACAAATCTACCAAAGCATTTTACGAACAAGAAATCAAAATTTCTATCCCAATACAATTTTCTGAGTAAGTGGATTATATGAATTTTGGACCCTGATTAGGGGATCTGGAAGAGAAAGAGAGGACTGGAATACTTTGGTTACTATATTTAGGCTCAAATATGATTCAAAACCATAAACAACCATGTTTCTCCATTAATTATAGTGGAAAACTTTAAATTGGAGTTGGCTTTTTTCATGTGTGATTTTTTTAATGTAAGAAATTTACATATAAAAGGGCTTCACTATTGCAGCCCCTGAACAAATCCTCTTGAGGTATTTGGGATTATTCAAGTTTAAGCCCCCTGGGATATAGCAAAATAATAAAAACATCCTTGAGAAGAAGCAACTACTTACAGCAGAACCAAATGTCTTCTGGAATTGATTAATAACAATATATTCTATGTCTTCCCCGCTATCTTCATCTGTAATAAAATTAAAACAACCTCTGAAAGTGTTAACTTTACCTGTAATCACTATATAATCTCCTAAAGTACTTTCCAAATATATATGATGTTTCTTCCTTTACAAAGATAGATAAACTAAGATTAATAAATCAAACCAATCAAGATAAAGCTGGTTTAGATAGTAAAGGTGCTTTTTGAAAGCATCCTCCCTTAAGATGCCTCCAAGACCAAATTATTCAATTGGATTTCTGATAAGCAGTATTTTGCTAGCCGCTTAACAAGATAAAGAATCCAAAGAATCCCTCAAGTTGAACCTCATTCTTAATATTGATTTACTTTATTCCAACAGTTGAATATTGTGCTAGCGTGTGGCTTAACATCACCCACACCCCCAAATGGTTGATGTCGAATTCCACCAGACAATGTGTATCATCACTGGCATGTTGCATTCCACTCCTGTGCACTAGTTACCAATACTTAGCAATATCATACCGGCCCTGCATTAGAAGACAACAAGCTCTCCTTTGGCTCTGGTCAAGGATGCTGAACAAGGCCCTCCTTATTCACCAGGACAACGCAAAGTTATGAGGCCACTGCCATTTCCCCATATTAGTTTTGTATATAATTTAGTGGATTGTGTGGTATATATTTACTTCACTTTTGTCATGTTCTCATCATATGCTAAATAAATAAATAACTCCTAATATACAGTTTTTGTACATGAAAATTCCATTTGGCTCTATTATTCAATCCATATATCTATGAACGATTTTAATAAATATATGTTTTGTTATTTGAGCTATTATGGTTGGTTGTACAGGAACATGCCATATTTTTCTCTTCAGTTACAAATGGAGTCCTATGCTTATAAACATCATTAAAATATATATTTGCTTTTTCCATGTTTTTAAAAAATACTATTTTAGGTTCTAATCCTATACTTAATAGTATACAGTAGAAGCCAGGGTAGTTGAAAATCAATGTCCGCTTTTGCTCGGATATATTTTATGCTAATATGAAATTAATATTTGAGGTGTTTATTTATATATTCAATTTATATAGTTGCCCATCTCACATTCATGACTCTAAGAAGTTTACAATTAAAACATAAACATTACCAAACAAAAAAAAA